CCCACCCAAAAAAATATTGTAAAAAAGAATTGAGTTTAACATTCTACAGACTGATTGACAGTGTAAAAAAAGTTTGCACTACTAAGTCGTCTAAAAATAATTTAAAACTATAGAAATAGACATGTAATTACTTGTTTAAATATATTAAATTATACCAATAATGTGAAAATTCTTCAACTTAATAGTATATACTCCCTCCATTTTAATTTATGTAAACTATTTCTTTTTTAGTCTGTGTCAAAAAGAATGACCAATTTTCATATTTGAAAATAATTTACTTTTTATACAATAATTTATAGCCGCACAAAATATATGTGTCTCATATTAATACAAGTGTAAAAGTTTTTTCTTTTTTTCTTAAATTCTGCGCCAAATCGAATAGGTTCAAACGAAGGGAGTATAAATTATAGTTTACATATTGGGGTGAGTAAAGGGTATAACCTGAGTATTCTAGCTACAGTTTAACATGCGTCTGTTTGTATTAAATTTAAAGATAACTACAAGTAAAGTTTCATAAAAAATACATAATAAAATTAGTAAGCTGGAAAGTAAGTTGGGTTATTTGCTATTAAACTATAGCATAAATTTTTTACTCGATCACTACAAATAAGATAGATTCAAACTAACACTGGGGTGAGGAAAGGGAATAACAGTACTATGAGAATTGCAACTACAGTTTTGTACATGCATTTGTTTGTTTGTATTTTCAATTTAAATTCAAAGATTCCGCTTTTGAGTTATGCGCCTTTTGATGGCTTTTAATAGTGACGCTGAAAGTTGTCGTATCATATAACAACGTAAATAAAGAAAAGTAAACAAAAAAAAAAGAAAAGAAAAACAGAGTGAAAACATAGATCTCCAAAAAGGATTGATTGAGTTTAAGGGAGAAAAAGTGGGTTGCCTTTACAGCCATTCATAAGGTAAAAATGATTATGGCATTATTGGATTTTGGACCCTTGGTTACTGAGAAAGAGAAAAGGCGATATAAAAATCCAAAAATAAAAGAGAAAGAGATAGAGAGCATCTGATCTGCTCCCCTTAGTACGATGTCGTCCCGTGAAGTCCTAGCTGGAGGATATTATATTGATTATTGCATTTGAGTGGGAGAATTAGGTGGGTGCACCTTGGGCCCAATATTGTACTATTACCATCCAAATAGAATAATAAGTTTTATTTAGGAGGAAATTTTAGAAAGCACTGCAATTTTATACGTAGTTAATAACAATTTGCAGCTATTGTTTCAATATTTACTTTCGTAGAAAACCTTCCCTTGCCAGGCGTATGTATTTACTGTATTTATGCGCGCAACTAATACAACTTATATAAAGTATATTTGTTCGCGTAACGAATACAATCAAAGTAAAATACAGAAATACAAAGGTATATATAAGATTACAAACAACAAAAAATACAGAGGCATATATATGGGTACATAACCACAAAAATACAATCAAACATACATGGTGCAAAATAAAAAAAATACATCCCATACCTAGAAAAAATACATACATGGTGCAAAATCAAGGTGAAATTGGTCGAGAAATTTCTCCCTCGGAATACAGAAATATAGGTGAATTTGCTATACAATTCAAATATAACTACGAATGGTAATCCTTTGAAAATATAGCTATGAATAGTACATATATAGTATATAAGTTAGCTACACCAAGTAATTTTTTGTTAATTAGTTAACTACTTTTGCTTGTGAAGGCAATGGTGATGGAGTTTAATAATGTAAATAAAATTTTTGATCATGTAATCTTAAACTAAAAGGTAGGATAATGTGTCAATAATATGCTTCGAATCTTATAATTTTAAACATGTAATGTCATTTATAAAAGAAAATATCATTAAGATAAAATAAGAATAGTAAAATAAAAAACTTACTAAATATAAAATGAGGGAAGTATTATTTATATATATGGTGTAATATTGTTGGATGCGTATTTGTGTGGTTTGATAAATCCCAAGTTAAGCAGCCGCATTAACACTACTAAAAAACTGTCAAAACCGACCGAAATCGGTCGGAATCGAACAAAAATCAACTGATTTTCGACCGTTTTCAATTCGTCGAAAAAATAATGGTCGCTAATGGCTATCGACCACAGACAGTCAGCAATTTTCAACTAACTTGGCCAATATTCTGACACAAAATAAACTTACCTACCGAAATCGATCGGTATTCTTAAAAATAATTTTTAATTATTTTGAAAATTAGAGACCAATTTCGGTCGGAAATTTAATTATTTATTTTTTTAAAAATTGTTCAATTCCGACCGAAATCGGTCGGTATTATTAAAATATTTAAAATTTAAAATAAAAAATTCCAACCAAAGTTGGTCGGTATTATTAAAATATTTAAAATCAAAAATTTCGACCGAAGTCGGTCGGTAAATTTAAATTTCTGGGAAATCAATTGAACATTTCCGACATACTTCGGTTGCTAGGCGGTCGGTTTTATGGGTAAGTGTTTAGTAGAATACAACTGTTTTATAGCCGCACCACCTGCCAACAACCAATCACTTATAATGGCAACATTACATTGCTGCCATTCAACCAATAACAACAACAATTACAACTATCAAAACTATATTAACAAAACATCATCTCCATCTCCACTAAACTATATTAACAAAACATCATACCTAACAACAAAACGTTTCACAAGATAAAAGTTCAAACATCATTCAATGAGTGTTTTGTACTACATCATCTCCATCTCCACTACTAGAACCTTCATCGTCGGCATGATTCGAAGGATCACGACGAGAAGGCGACACATCTGGGGAAGGCCCACGAGACCGGGGAATTAGAAAAGCACCACTAGCAAGAAGTTTGGCCAGCTGACCTTGAAGAACACTAAATTGTTGGTCCCTCTTTTCTAGCTGGCCTTTAAGGGTATCAAATTGTTTATCTTTCTTTTGTTCTCTAAACCTTTGTCTGTTCAAGCTCTGCTGTCAGCTTTGCGATCTTCTTTTTCATAGACGAGAGAGTCGACCTATCAATTTCCTCGCCTTGGGTGGAAGTCCATATACCTTGCAATCCAGCACTGTAGCGCCGAAATGATCTCTCTGGAAGGCTGCATGCTATCCCCTTTTTAAGACCACCTATAACATCTAACCATATCTTTTGCACTTCTTCGTCTGAAAGAGGTGGTCGCTCGCCTTGCTCAGTCGGTAGAAAGCTATGAGTGTACTCCTCCACATTAGTCTTATAGTGACCCTTTATTTAGAAGATAGAAATTATTAACTATATAATATTATAAAAATTAATTTCAAGTTTTTGTAGTTATGAAACTTACATATGTAGTCTCTGCCCGGTCGTCGACCCATCTAGTTGGATCTGTCGGTGCCTTCTTCTTCCGGATGTGAGTCTCCATGAAGAACTCATCATGAGTCATCTTCCTCCTATATTGTTTTCCTACGAATATAATAAAACATGTTAACTAAATTAAAATATATAAATATAGTTCGATAAAAATAGAATTAAATATTTTAAGAAATTACCATTAGTCTCCTCGCAGTGTTACGACCCAAATTTCCCTCCGTAGGATATCGTGACGGCACCTAGTCTTTAAGACTAGGTCAGCCTAACACTTACTGAATTAATAGAAGAATTTGACAAACAATTAATATTTATGAAATAGAACCTCATTACACAACTTACAATTCCCATAACCGGTAGTACAAGTCAAAATCTCTACTGAGTTTACTACAAAAACCTCTAAATACAACTGTTTCAAAATAGAAATAAACAGTGCAAGTACAATACATAAGGTGACTCCGAGGCCTGTGAACGCAACAACAGGTTTACTTGAGTCTCCACAGCAAGATCCGTATAGCTAGCTAGCGATCGACTGACTCCGAATTACCTGGACCAGCACAAAAATATGCAGAAGTGTAGTATGAGTACACCACAGCGGTACTCAGTAAGTATCAAGACTAACCTCAGTGGAGTAGTGATGAGGGACAGTCAAGACACCTACTGGACTAGATAACCTAAACAAGTATAGGTATAGAACTAACAGAGTATGATATCTCTAGAGAACTACGCATAATGACAACAATAATACGGTGCTTGCAATAGGAAATAAAAGCAACAATTTGCAGCGGGACACTACAAGTAGTAACACAGTAGTGTAAGTTGGACACAGTTAATTCCATTAAAAATAAATAAAGGAAAGACAAGTAGTAACTTGATAAGAATAACCGCTTTTGCACCAGGTTTATTCAATAATCCCCACGAGGTACCAAACCTCAAAACTCACACAATTCACGGGTCCACCCAATTCATGAACCTTAATCACTTGGCATCTTGTTCCCTCATTATAACTGATAGTTGCACGGACGATTCACATGCCAATAGAACCAATCTCACATATATGACAAGTAGACGAAGTACGTACAAATGATCAGTAGCATCAATGTTCATCTTCTTAACCGATAGGGTGATAAAGTACGTGTATGCTTGTGCAAGTATTGTATCA